TGTGTGTGTGTGTGTGTGTGTGTGTGTGTGCGTGCGTGTGTGTATTCATTTCTCACACTCTTTGAGATCCCGCACCAGCGTTTAAGGTCAATGTATACTGAAGCTCCAAAGAAGTCAGTGAAAAATCAACACTGCTAGCTAATCCTTCACATAGTTTCCTAAACAATAATCTCAAGACATTTAAGAAAACTATATAAAAACTGGAAGACAAAAACAGGAACGTTGCCATTTTTAAAGCAATACAAAACGTCCTCGCAGCATTTCTTGTGTGAGTCGGAGATGATGAGTCAGTTTGAGAGCTGCGCTCTGTGGGTCTTCATTGAATTCATGTGCTTTGAGTCAAAGTCCCTTTAAGGCAAGTCGGTTCACTCGGCGGCCATCTTGGCCATGCCGCTGGGTAGCTATTATTTATCTATAGGCATCCTATCTACTTGAATTGGGAAATCTCAGAAACTGTTGGCTGATCTTATGTTTCAATAATGTATATAAGAAATAAAATCTGACAAAACCTGTTTAAAAATGTTGCTTCTTCAGCTCAAAGTAGGCAAAACGCATATTTTTTTCTCATTTATTTTTCGATGAGTAGTCCATTTCTTAATACTGGCTCTATTTGAACCTGCAGGGTCATCCGGGGTGACCTCTACTGGTAGCATCCATTCATAGAGTCAGAAAATTTGCATAATTATTCAAAATACATTGAAAGCAGAAATAAGCCATCATTCAAAAGTTTGGAATAAGTATGTTTTCTTAATGTCTTTGAAATAAGTCTCTTATGGTCCACAAGGCTGCATTTATTTGATCAAACATCCAGTAATACAGTAATATTGTGAAATATTACTTCAATTTAAAATAACTGTTTTCTATTTGATATATTTTAGAATTTAATTTATTCATGTGATGTCCTTATTCCAGTTTTCAGTGTCACATGATCCATCAGAAATCATTCTAATATGCCGATTTGGTGCTTAAGAAACATTTCTTATTATTATCAATGTTGAAAACAGCTGTGCTGCTTAATATTTTTTGTGGAAACTGTAATTTATTTTTTCAGGATTCTTTGATGACTATAAAAAACAGCATTTATTATCACTCTCACTGATCAATTCAATGTGTCCTTGCTGAATAAAATTATTAATGTCTTTAAAAAAGTCTTGACCCAAACCTTTGAAAGATACTGTATGTGAATGTACTATACAGTGAATCTCAAATAACAAGAAGACTCTTGCTACTCCCAGTAAAAAACAACGTGAAGACATAAAACATGAACTGATAAAGAGCCACTGGATGAATGGAAATAAACTTAGAAATGAGCAAATAGATTAAATGAACAGCAAAAGTGGATGATGGTCACAGGATGTGATCTTACTGTGAGTATACTGTGTGTGTGTGTGTGTGTGTGTTTTACCTTTCTGAAGGCTCATGTCCACCATGCGAGGTTCTGCTAGCTCCAGATAGAAGCTTTTGTTTTTTTCATACTCCTCATCATCGATGATTTTAACCTGTATGGTTTTACTGAGAGAGGAAGAGAGAGAAACACAACATCAGGGGTCACTGATCAAGTGAGGGGTCAGTGGGCTGTCCTGAGGTCAGAGGTCAAACAGTTCATGCAAACACACTACATCATCTTTCTGTGATTCATATCCCTTGCTGTCTTGCACCATCAATCATGTTAGCTGCAAGATAAAACAGTGGTATATGGGTTTCAAGTAAATCAAAACTGTCTGCAGCATTGTTACAAATAATACATTAATAATAATTAATAATAATATTAGTATTAAAAATAAATAAGTATTTTAATTATATTTCTCAATAGTGAGGTTGCAACACTGCTATTTGAAATCATGTAGTTTTACGGTTGAAAAGTTGTTTTATTAAGTAGTTTTATAGGGCTATGTACGTTTGACAAACATTTCATTTTCCCTGATAATATTTCAGCAGCAGGCACTACATCATTTTACATCTATAATGAAGGTCTTTAGGTTCAACAGCTGTATGTGAAAAAAGCTTCCAAATAACTTCTTCCTCTGAAGAATTCTGAAAAAAAAATAAAAATATCACGGTTTCCACAAAATTATTAAGCAGCACAACTGTTTTCAGCATTGATGATAATAAGAAATGTTTCTTGAGCACCAAATCAGCATATTAGAATAATTTCTAAAGGATCATGTGGGACTGAAGACTGAAGTAATAGCTGCTGAAAATTCAGCTTTGCATCACAGGAATAAATATCATTTAAAAATATATAAAAACGGAAAACACTTCTTATAATTCACAACATTCTTGTTTTACTGTATTTCAAATAAATTATCAAATAAATGCAGCCTTGTTAAGGAGACATCTTTCAAAACCATTTCAAATTTTGCTGACTTCAAACTTTGAATGGTAGTACATGTACATCGATAAAAACAGCCAATAAATTTTTTCTGCTGTCTTTTGAAGATGTTTTTGGTTCTTCAATAAACGTGTATCAGATCAAATTATATGAAGAATGATAAAGTATCCTAAATGTAGCAAGCTACTTCTCTAAAGGCTAGCTTTCAACTTAGCTTAGCTAATTTCTCTATAGAGTAGTTGCTATCCTAGCTAGCAACACAGCGGAAGCCCAACATTGGTAAACTGTTGATCAGCCTACATGAGTGTTTATTTAAAGAATCAATCTCTTAACAACTCTTATCTGTAACATCGATTTCTCTCTCACACTCTGTCACTCTTTCATTGCTAAATTCTCAGCATGTGTGTGTGTGTATTTATAACTCAGCATGTGATTGATGTTGACCTGGTTTCTCTGTGACTGTGAGTAACACCTGTTTCAGCTGTGTTTCAATGAGAGTTTCTGTATGTGTGTGCGCGTGTTCGACCTGTGAACATCCCCCCTCCCTTCATTCGGATCAGTTACTCACAGTACAGCTGTCCGCAGACCCACGCCACTTCATCGCTCTCTAATATGTCTTCAGTCTAACATACTCATGTTCTCATTCCCTTCTGCTCTGCCCTGTTTCCCATCCATTAGCGGACACATTATACTCAAATGTCCTTCCAGCCTCTCTCACTCACTCAGAGAGACGGCGCGCAAAGAGAGACTGTGACAGGGCTGCATGTTTGGTCTGTGATCTGATGTAGGTCATTCCTACCATGCAGTACATTTTCGTGTCTCCATCATATATAAAGGAACTGTACAATTAGCTGAATTTACTCCAGTCTTCAGTGTCACACGATCCTTCAGAAATCATTCTAATACGCTGATTTGGCACTCAGGAAACATTTCTTAATATTATCCATTATGTTGAAAACAGTAGTGCAGCTTAATATTTTTGTGGGAACTGAAACATTTTTTCCAGGATTCTTTGATGAATAATAAGTTCAAAAGAACATGATTTATTTAAAATAGAAATCTTTTGTAACTATATAAGCCTTTACTGTTACTTTTCATCAATTGAATGCATATTTGCTGAATAAAAGTATTAATTTATTTAAATATAAGTCTGTATGACTTATATTCCAAGTCACTTAAAGCCTTATAATAGCTTTTCGTATAAGAAAATAACGACAGAAGTTTCATTTTATGCTGAACTAATAGTTATAAAATATTTTATATCAAAATGTCACAATTAAGTGAAGTAAGGGTAAACCTTCATTTTCTGTCTTTTACAATATCACATGTTCAGTGCTTTTTGTTTATAATTTGTTCTAAAAGGTTTAATGTATAAAGTAATTTATAAAATGTAAGAAACTTGGATTGCAAGGAGCTTAAATGTCATTCTGAAAATATAAAAGCACATTTAATGCACACATTTCTATCGTTTTCTATTCATATAAGTCTCTAAATCCTTTCAAAACAGTCCGGTAATGGCATTATCCTCAAAGACATTACATTACATCCAGTTTTTATAAAATTACAGAAATCAGAACGGTTTCAGGAAAAAAATCCAAATATTAAAATTAAGTTTCACTAAGTCTTTATTTCCATTCTGCTAGACATTCTGTTTTCTTGCCATTGTGTAAGCTGATTTTGACCAGACTGGTAAAGGATGTACAGAAATACTTTCAAAGTCTGGTAAAGAATGAATAGAAATACGTAAATTTATAAAGTTAAACAAGTGCTACATAAAAGGAATGACACATGTGCTTTGGTTCACAATCTCACACCCATTTGCCTGGGCCAAGACATGTGTGTGTGTGTGCATGCTAAAAAGTATAGAATTTACAGTAAACAAGATTTATTCCTGTATAGTGAAAAATCCCTACAGTGGCTCCTCCACCTGCTCCGAGTTGTAGTGACTCAGCAGACTGCCTGAGCTTACCACAAATGAATCTAAACCTTGCACATGTGCTCAAAATCAGAAAAGACAATGTCCCTCCTCTGTTCTTTTCCCATTCCGGTAATTAAATGGAATCTTAAGCCTGAAACACACTTTCACGCGCCACTGCATTTCGAAATGTGATCTAGGATGACCAGACATCCCATTTACCTGAGACAAACCCAGTTTCACAAGATGTGTCCAAGTGCCTTGAAAATGCACTAAAAAGCATAAATACCGCAAAGTTTCAGCTGTCTACACTCTCTGGTATCATTTGTGATTCTCAATAGAATGACACTGCAGAACTGTTACGTTGCCATTGCAAGCTGATTTGCCGATACCTAGAACATCTATCAGCAAATCTGCTTGGAATGTATCTGGTTGCCATAACAACTTGAGGTGCTCTGCCATCCCAGAAAGTACTAGCACTAGAATGTTAGATGTGGATTTGAATTGAACAGTTTTAGGTTCCAATGTTGTTTAAAAAATATTTTTAAAGCAATGAGCATAAAGTACTATCAAGACAGAGAATAGGTGTTCTCAGCACGTATTTGTTGAATACAGCCACAACACGCAGCCACTATTTTACATGCTTTTAGATATCACATTCATCAATCTCCACTCCATTCCCCAACTCCTTCTGCTCCTCACGGCATCATCAAAAAACACACACACACACACACACATTCCCACTGCCTACATATTCACATTGCCCAACAGGCTCTTCCCCCTTTTAGAAACCTGTTAGATAGAGAATCTGTGATTCTTTAAGACAGTCCAGTCAACTCCATCCTCAAAACCCAGAGCAAACAACATCCATTCAAATCCAACATCATTAAATCAAGATATCTCACGTTTGTTATTTCTATCTGCACTAAAGCTGCCCACTTCAGCCAAGGTTGCACTGACAAAACACACAACCAATATATTTCTTAGTAGACTTGACTACTAATGGTATCTATTCTACACATGGGAGAAATATTAGAGAATGGTGCTCTGATCTCAAATTCTTTTGTTTACACTGCCCCAATCCTTCTGCACTCATTTCATACACTCATTTTGCAAGTAATAAAACTGAAGCAAACTGTGTAATCAATATCCAGTATATTTACCTTGGATAAAGTCAGCACAATGCCAAGAGACAATACAGTAGTAGTTACAGTGGAAAGAAAAGATGAAAAACATTCAAGTCCATTCATCTTGACACTCTTGTGGATAGCGTGAGGAACATGCATTCAGGACCACTTACTCATTCACTCAATCACCATTCATACATAGTGAATGCCACATGTGAGTGGAAATAAATGAATTCAGACACAGCTGTAATAATTAAGCTTGGCATTACTGTCATACGGTTTCCTGAACGGCAAATAAAACAAAACAAAAAAACACTGGAAGCCTGACTTGTCTATTTAGACTAAAAAAATTTAATCATACAAACCACATATACAGCAGATGAGGATTGGCAAATTTTGTAATTTGTATGCTTTTTGATTGCTTTTCAGATTAAAAAACAAGGGTTTCAATCGCATACATCATTACAAAAAATATTTTTACTCCCTGTCTGAGCACAGCTTTACACCATGTTCTAACCAAGCGTTATACAGCGACAAATGATAAAATCTTGCTCACATTAATGAGAATTTGTGTCCTGAACAGCTGTGCCCATGATAAGCAGTGGGACATTCTGTGTTCGAATTTCCTAATTAATGTATTCGTACAAATCAAAACCTGAGACATTTCAGCACTCACAGAGTTTAGCGCCATCTCTAATCAAACACACCGGCTAATCAAGGGTTCCACTGAAAATTATGGCTCCATCCGAAAACTTAGGCAGCTGACTTGCTGCCTCGCTGCCGTATGAGGCAATGACTTTGCAGGCAGCGTTTTTGCACGAAGGCACCTCATGAAACTGATTTCGGACAGGCTTCTGAGGCAGCATAACTGTTTAATGACCTACAACAAAATAGAACGAGTTTTTGTGATAACTAAAGGAATATTTAATTACTACAATACTGATTTCTCGCTAGAAATAACATCAAAAGTGCAAAAAGTTAGTCAGAAATATACATTTATACACAAACTGACCACCAAAAGCAACTTTCAGGCGCCATCTTTATTTTTTTTAGCTCAACCGTCAGGGAATGGAACGCACAGGATTGTGGGATATCAAAGGCAGCTAAGGATACATCTATGCTGCCTTCAAAATTCGAT